CTCCACTAGACGTATAATATGCCACATATTTTAAGCTGGAGCGTTCTTCAATCCAATTATTTCATTGGTACCAAAGTGTATTATTCGAGATGCTAAGCTAACCAAGTCTACTTTCCTGATTGCACCGAAGAAATGTGTGTTTAGCTGGATTGTAATAGATTCTAATTCGATGGAATCAGTGGCGTGGGCTTTTTGTAGTGTACTAGTATGGTCAAATAAGAGAGGACTGCACTTTGGAACTACCTAATGATTTCAACGCTGTTAATAATTGTTGATGATATGGCTCTTGATACCAAGTTAAACTTTTGTTATTTGATTAATCAAATATACAAAGGTCAAAATTCAATTTTCAGCATTTGTATAGAAATTATTCTACGACTACGATCGATTATTCGCTAGGGATCAGCTGTACGTCGATTTTACAACATACCGGATCGCTCTGTATTTTTGTCCCTCAATGCCAATTGAATAAATAAATATGTATGATCTCAATGTTGCGCAAATTCTGCCGTTTATGTGTTCAAAAAAAGGGTTTTTTGTAAAAAGTAAAAAAATGCATCATTCAAAGTATTGTCCATCAGGAAATTTTCGAATATCATTACTAAGTAATGAGTCTTCTTTGCCCTCAATCTACTCGTAAATATTAATGAGCCATACTTCGATTTCTTCAAAAGACTCGGCCAAATCGTTTTGCATTGTCGAAAAAGCCAGTAATCGTAAGGTTCAATGTCTGGAGAATTCCGTTACATCTTCGCGGGACATGTTGCAAACTCTAAATCTCATACCTTTCGGTCTTTTCTCACCGTTTTTCACGCAATTCACTACTCAAACTCGTTAGTAAATTCTCTATTGTTCACTAATCCGAACATCTTCGAAGAGGAAAAAACCATTCTTATTGTCAGAAACTGACTTTGATTAATTTATATCTCTAATAATATAAAGGTGTTGCAGGAGCTCAAGCATAGGAACGTGTCCCTAAGGTCTTTTCATTACCCAAATCCAATCCGCCTCTGTCAAAAAGTGCGGTCATCTGAAGAAGATTCCTCACCAGTATCCGGTATTTCTGATCGATTTGGAGGTTAGAGACAAGCTGGCAATATGTATGATGGGTATTTCGGCATAAAACAAGTTTGGATACTGGGCAGGGTGCTTGACTTTGGTTGTTTGAATCAAGAAACAGTAGCAGTAACTTCTTGATCGTTAGGTTCCATTGAAATCAATGGTGTAATAAATTGAAAATCTCTAAGTTGATGTTTAGCTCAACCTAATTGAAGTCTCACACACGTTACATAGCATTTATGGGGAACCCAAGATTATAAGATTTAACTTGGAGTACATTAACAAGAGCAAAAATCTCAAAAAAGCTCGTGTGTCGAAACCGTGTTGACCAATGTCCCCCTTATTGGTAGATTCGCCTCCAAATGTTATAAAGCTTGTTAGCTTGTTCTATATTTTTCTGAGCTCACTGTAAATTTCCCACGCGCACAAAATGAAATTTAATACGTAGGAGTATATATGTGTGTTAAAACGAAAAAGTGAAGCCGTACAAATTACGTGCTCAATGAAAAGCGTCGATAATTACATATAAAAAATTCCATGCAAATTACAAATCGTCAACGTGGGCCAATAAAAGCTTTTTTTCTTTTTTATAAAACACAAACAGCATAACAGATGAAAGGAATGTTGCACGCATTTTACATGCATACATTTATATGTACATGGATACGCACACACACACATACGTGTACACATGTATATACGTAATGGTTAGAAGTAATGCGTGGCAAAAGCCAGAAAAAGGTGAGAAGTCTATGTAGTTGGCAAGCGCATGAATACCGCTGGCAGGATGTACTGGGTGGCTATGAAAATTGGAAAAACCATTGAAAGCATTGGCCAGCAAACATATTGTGGTTGACGGGGGAAATAATGTAGATAGCTGAATGAAATATTTGGCGAACGAAATTTGTAAGAGGTCATGTGACATTTTTAAATTACCATGTCAGCACTTGTCGGACAGCGTCGACAGGCGAATTATGAATGTAGAAACTCGAGTGGTAAGCAAAGAGAGTCAGAGGGTAGAGCAGCTGGACCGGGTTGAAAGACAAATCTTGCCTACTGCTCATGCATTCATGGAGCTGCATGGGTTGGTCGATAGGTACCTTGTAGCATTTGCCTGCTAAATGGCAATGAATTACTTGCACTGGCAAGTGTAATATGCTAACGTATATATGTATACCAAAGAGTATATGCTGGTCACATGCGAGTGCGTCGCAATGAAGGTTTAAAAATGGTTGTGCATTTGTTGCTTTACATGTTACACCTTATGTTACCGCACCTTTTCAGTCGTATTCCCTGCATCAACCCAGAAAACGGTGAGTGATGGTTACAACACCTGCCTTTTGCAATCCCAAACCAACGTCCAACGACCAGAGACCTGCAAGAATCTCCATGTACAATATGTGCTGGATGTGGACTACTGTGGCTTACAAATTGCAACAGAAGGGCCACTGGCTGCGCGTATCCTGGTAGTAGTGGCGTTGTTGGTGTGTTGGAATTTATGTCATTTGCATTCGCCATGCATAAGGCAATTTTCTGATGTATAATTTTTTCTTACTCTTACTCTTTGCGTCGCACACTTCACTGCATGGGCAGACGTCATACAAACTTCCATCATGAACATGGTTTGCATCTATGTACGAGTATGTATGTACACTATACGTGGATGCTGTGTGCGCAATGAAAAATGGCTGCAACTATTTTATGCGAAAGCATTCTTGTGGCTACGAAATTGTACTCAATATAATTTTATTAAAGAAAGCTTCATAAGTGACAGCCATTTTTATTAATATAGAACGGTATGTTGCCAGCAGTACCGTTTAATGTTGAGTTGCATTATTTGGAAAATAAATTTTTATATCTCTTTTGGCTAAAATTGGAGTTTTAAGTCTTTGATAACCTGTTTTTACTTTACATATATTTTGAGTAATATACAATTTGAATTTATTAGGCTGTGAGACCTTCTAAGCTAACTAAAAATTTTCACTCCAAAAAGCATTAAATAATAAATTAATTGAATAGTATACATAGGTTAACTTAATTTAAATTAAATAATTAATTTTTTTTCATAAATCAATAAAACAAAAAAATAATTGAATATAGTATGAAGCAAAATAAATAAAATAACATAAAATTAAATAAAATTAAAAATACACAGATGTCACTTCCTGCTCACAGAAATACTCTCCTCTAAGTACTATTATTTACCCTTGACCACTTTACTTTACTTTATTTCGGCGCCCCAATTTTCCCATAGTGGGTTTTGAATCTCGCTTTCAAATTAATTGCTTAAATTTTCAAAATAACGCTTAGAAACAAAAACTAAGATAATTTTATCTGCAGTTATTAGCACCTTTGCGAGTAAATAACACCTCTCCGTTCGTCTATAAGTTCTTAGACGTTCATCGGCACTGTTTTGTGTTCTTATCGGGCTCGCTAGTGGCTTCAGGTTTCATATGTTATGCCCTCTCTGGTAGTATTGACGACGCACATTTATACTCTGGAGTATACAGTTGGTATTCCTTTGGGATGCCAAGAGGTAATAGTAATGCGTCCGCTTATTACTGCTGTCCTGTAACCTCGGGGCGATAAACTTTGGTTAATATCCCTCGTCTTCTGTTCCTCCGTAGAGTAATGTACCACATTTATGTTTTTGTTATCCGTATTGCAAGCATTAATTACCTGGGCGAAAACGTCAGTATGGCCCATAAGCCATACAAACGAAGCTTCCGGACCGGACACCATAATCCCAGACTCCATAAATCATGTGCAAACTATATGGCCACATTAAGAGCGATTCTAGAAAAGTTATGACACTCTTAGGAGAGAGCCCTATTATGCAAAGGAGTGTTCGAAAAATTAATTTACTTCTTAAAACAGCTGTACTAAGGATGTAGTTGTTGTGTGAAAATATTTGGGCAGACAGCGACCAGGTCGCTATTATTCTTCTTGGTGATGCGACCAAGCGTATGTGGCGAACAGGGGCATATTTTGGGAAATATGCTCATGATGTCTGTCGCACATTTACTTAAAACTTGAATTTGTTGGACACATAAACATGTCAACATCGCAAAGGCAAAATTCATTTGCAGTTGGTAGAACTCGATGAGCTTTGCTTGTCGGTCTTCAGCTTATATACTCCGTATTTGGCTCCTTTCTCAGCAAGTTTATCTTTTGAATTTTTCAAGGGTATCTTATATGGTACAGAATCATGGATAATTGCAGTTACCATCAGGAATTTTATTTTGTACAATCTCACCTTCCCAATTAAGGACATGATCAATGGAAGCCAACACTGGAGTCTGTAAGCGTTTTGAACAAAATACAGTTTGGTGGCAGCAAATAAATTCAACTAGATCGGTCGGTGAAAATGGAATAGTTATGTTGATAATTATTATGACAGCCATAAAGAAAATTGGAAATTTCGAAACGTAGTTGATATTAGTAATTTTTTATGAACAAATAATTAACAAACACATATGAGTACATATGTAAATTATTAGGAATTTAACAACAGATACTTATATTTAATTTCCATATATAAATATATATAACTACTAATATTTTAACTAGAATTATAAAAATTATACAACGTGGACCAAGGTGGCCCAGTAATGGAAAACCTATAATACAATTATTTAAAAATGTCATAAACATTTTATGCAAATTTTTATATTTAGACATTTGTATATATGCAATAATTAATAATACATAACTGTAAAATTTTTGGGTGAGTACTCATCAAAGCAATTAATTTTAATGTAGATTAAAAAAACATACATTTAGTATTACATATCCACTTAGCTTTAGTAATGTGTTGCATGCAACCGTTAAATTCATTTGTTTGCATGATCTAACCACAAATCTATAATACAAAACGTTCATGTTCTTTCCATTACTGTACATTTTAAAATTAATAACAAATCTTCTTGATAAAAATGTAGTACCACCTCGTTGGATACTTAAACCCACCGACCAGGATGCCATACTTGGCAACCCTGTGGCCATAACATGCAAAGCTGATGGATTTCCGATACCGAGTGTACAATGGAAACAATCGATTGGTAAATTAGAGTAGGATTATTTTAAATTTTTCATTTAAAATTATGATCTATCATTTTCCCTCCATGGAACTTCAAGTTACTCGAGAACACCTCGAAAAAATACAAATAATTTCAATAGATACCAGAATGTTAACTGACCTACTGGTTATTGTTTCTTAACTTCCAACTCGATCAAGTATTTCTGGGAAAAGAAAATCTTAGCTTGAAGAAACACGCAAGCAGATCTCCTACAGAATGTCCTCCAAAATATGACTGACATCACAGTGATGTAGAATGTATGTTAAAACAGGAGTCTAGGTACTTAGGACCTTCACACCACAGCCGCTGCCCGTCTTTTTCTTCTTACTTACTGGCATTTAACCTTAATAGACGAATCAGTAATAGCGAGCAATTCGTTTTTTAGTTTCTCTCCTTGGTGTCAATTGAAAATTCGAAATGAAACTAGATCGCTCTCTAATTAATTATTCCAACGGAGATTTTCCTATTCGTTGAATTTCAAAGCTGTTATCTATACTTGCACTTATGTTAGTTACAAGATAGACGAAATTATCTACGATTTTAAAGTTATGACTACCAGCTGCGGGGAGCCATGACACGAAAGTCCACGCACACTTCCCTCTTCCGCTTTCGATATACATCACTTCCTTCATAGAATGTGGTCGATCGCAAATGTTACTAGATAGGCAGTCTGTTTTCCCTAGCTCTTTCCCCGATATAGTTCAAAACTAATTACGACGAAAGGTTATGCCTCTCTTCCACAGCTTCCTTAACTCGAACTGCTGATAACTGCTCTCAGAAAGCAGGAATTCAAGTTGATGAATGAATTTTTTGGAATCTGTTGCTGTAGGCAACCATATTTCGGGCTCGACTGAGCTTCAGATCGTTTGTTTCGCCATAGACACTAAATTTATCGACTATTGTAGTATACTCGTATTTCACTAGGAGCTGAAGGTGCCAATTAAGCAAATAACAGATTGCCATTGAGTTTCGTCGGTGAGACTGCTATTTCAGCGCTTTCTAATTTTGTCTAAAGCCGTGAATTCAAAGCTTTTAGGATCTGACACTTCCAAACGTGTGGTCTTTGGGTCTAATCATCGAACCAAAGTAAAATTGAACAAACATTTAGAATTTTTTCATGTTTTGCTGCTAAACTCTTTACGTCTCTCGTAACCAACCAACCACCCAAATATGAAAATTTTTTTAACAAACGAACTACTGAGTAGAGGTTCGGTTTTCTCTAACACAGCGCTAAAAAAAACGTGTGAATATACTTATTTTAATATATTTATTACTTTTACACAATTTAGGAGACTCTGGGGAATATCGTGAGCTCAGTTATGGCATAGGCAATGGCAATTCGCAATCTGTAATTGAAACATATAATAATGGTTCACTAATAATACCGAAAGTTGGACGTGAGCACGAAGGCAGTTATTTGTGTCAAGCGAGTAATGGAATTGGCGCCGGCTTGAGTACATTGATTAAGCTCACTGTGCATGGTAATATCCCTCTAACGTCCTTATAATTATATATGCTTTTAATGCTCTTATATCCTTCTCTCTCTCATCCTTTATGAACAGTGGGCCCCTCAGTAACGGTTTCAAAGAAACAAGTTTCCGTCCGACGCGGTGATCGCGTTACGTTGCGTTGCGAAGCTGATGGTGATCAACCGCTTAATATAACATGGCGTGCCAAGGCCAATCATATTGATCCTTCCTATGATATACGCTACCACATAAAAGATTCGCCGCTCAGCCGTGGTAGTGTGTCGGAAATGACGATACTACAGACTATACTTAATGATCGTGGTGAATACACCTGCATTGCCACCAATAATTATGGGCATGATCGTGCCGTAATCCATCTACAAGTGCAGGAGCCACCGAATTTTCCCGTCAATTTGCATGTTACCGATTTGGGCAGTCGTTCAGTGACGTTGGCTTGGTCGCCTAATGATCAAGATTCTATTTTTATGAATAACGGCGGCAATAATCGCGATTCCCAACCGATATCGAACTATATTTTACAATATAAGAAAGCTGGCGGTATTTAATTATATATTTGAAGTTACGCGCTCTAGTAATTATCGATTTCTCTTACAGATGTTTGGCACGAGCATAATAACCAAAAATTGCTACCCGGTGATAAAACGACGGCGCAAATTGGTTCCCTACGTCCCGCGCAGGCGTATCACTTTCGACTATATGCTGAAAATCATTTGGGCACCAGCGCACCGAGTGACATTTTGTTAGTTCAAACCGACGCTGAAGTGCCAAGTGGTCGTCCACAAGATGTTTCGGCTGAACCCTTGGGACCGCAACAATTGCTCATCACTTGGCGTCCACCAGAGCGTGAGACCTGGAACGGTGAACTTCTGGGCTATACAATAGCATATCAGAAGCACGGTGCTCCTGATAGTGTACAGAACTTTACCAAAGTGAGTAGTTTAGGAGGTGAAGGTCTGAACGACTTTCGTCTCACCGGTTTGGAGAAATACACGCAGTATGCTATAACTGTGTCTGCGTTCAATGTGAAAGGGGATGGACCGCCGAGTGAGTTGACGATGGGTCATACCTTAGAGGATGTACCATCAGCGCCACCACAAGGTGTTACCTGCATTGCGTTAACAGCACAAAACATACAGATTTCCTGGCAAGCGCCACCAAAAGAGTCTAATCATGGCATTATTCAAGGCTATAAGCTGCTCTACGAACCCGGTAATATTGAGTCAGAGTATGGTACACGCGAAACAAAGATCACTTCAGCGCTGAGCACAGTCTTACATGGCCTCCAGCCTTTCACAAATTATAGCGTACAAGTTTTGGCTTTTACACGCGCAGGTGAAGGTGTGCTCAGTCCCACCGTGTCCTGCACAACCGAGGAGGCAGTGCCAGATGCGCCAGAGCGCGTCAAATCTGTCGTAAGTAGTGAGTCCTCTGTCATTATCAGTTGGTTGCCACCACGTCGACCCAACGGCATTGTGACCAAATACAATGTTTATATACGAATACTGGATAAAGGGCAAGAGTTGAAAATTCTCAAGGAAGTGCTACCAGCGAATAATCGCCACTTCGAAGCCAAAGATCTAATGTTACGCGAAACATATGAAGCTTGGGTTACATCATCTACTCGTGTGGGTCAAGGACCCAGCACGCCGGTAATCAAGCTGATACCAAGCCCTTCAGTGCCAGCAGCAATCATATCATTCAGTCAAACGCTGAGCGTCAGCTGGCGTGTGGATTTGAAGTTGGCTTGCGTTTTCGTCGGCAACCCTAAACCAAATTCTGAATGGAAAGTTTTAAATGCACGTTCCAAAAAACATTTTCGCCTTGAGGTGAGCAATGACAATACGTTAACCTTGCGAAATATACAACGTACACACGAGGGCAACTATTCATGTGTGGTACGTAACTCGATTGGCTCTGATCACATTGTCTATCAGGTATTTGTGCAAGGTAAGTAAGAGTAAAGCGCTTTAGTTCAGTAACAAAATATTCTTCGTATGTTGGCCGACATCTGTCGTCTCATTACATAATCACATATTAATATTTTTTCCCCGCAGTACCGCCATCTCCACCAATGCTCTCTGTTATCGGCAGCACAGCGAACTCAGTGTCGTTACAATGGCGTGTCGACGATATAGGTGGCGCACCGCTTCGTGGTTTTACCATGACTTTTCGCAAGGAATTTGGTGATTGGGAAGAGATACAATTGGACAGGCGTGTCAACTCTCATCTAATTGAGAACTTGGACTGTGGCACACGCTACCAATTCAATATGGTGACATTTAATAAAATTGGCACTAGTGAAACGAGCGCTATTGAAACGGCGAAAACGAAAGGTGGGTGTGAAAACATAAAAGGAGTTATGTGTGTTGGAAATTCTTTCTCCCTTTCAATAAATTTCAGGTAACAAACCAATTGCGCCGCATAAACAGAGCTTGATACGGCCAAATATAACATCAACACTGCTGGAGTTATCCTCCTGGCAGGACGGTGGCTGTCCGATACAGTATTTCAGCATTGAGTTTCGCCGCTATGGCATTTCTAGCGATTGGATAATTGTCTCTAGTCGCATAGAGACACACGTATGTATCTGCACTGTAGTCGATTTCTTAGATATCACGAACTTTTATTGCAGACACGCTACACAATTGGTGATCTGGAGCCGGGCACAGCTTACAACTTACGCATTGCCGCGCACAATAATGCCGGATCCACGATTAAGGAGTACTACTTTGAAACATTACACTTTAATGGCCTTTCAGCCGAGTTGGATCATAGCGACTTGCCAGAGGTGCGGACACTCTTCCGCGATGTACATCTGATAGCGGTGATTATCACATCCGTATTTGGCACAATCTTGGCAATAGTAGGCGCTTGTATTTGCTTCAAGAACTGTTAGTATAATGTAAAATATACGCCCTTAATGAATATTTTCGAATTATATTATTATTCCTTAAATCCATTATAGATCCTCGTCAACTATTTGCACGGAATGTCGACTCAATGCGGCCGCATGGCGCTGACGGCAAGGATATACAACATCGTGAACAATACTACGGTACGGTACGCAAATCATGCCAGCAATCTCCACGTGAATCGGTTGCTGGACTTGAACGCATACCTGAATACTCTGAAGATATCTATCCTTACGCTACATTCCATTTACCAGAACATGAAAATCAATCGGCTAACATACCACTCAGCCGCAAGGGCGGACTGCCGGCCATGTACGATCCGCGTGGTGGTGGCGTTGCTGATGACAATACGCTCTCCAGTACGGGTGCTAAGGTGAAACGATCGGTTTCGGCGGGTATTGGCAGCAGCAGCTCTACTGCGAATTTAGGCGGTGGACCGGGACAGGTGTCGGGTGAGTGTAGTCATACGAATACTGAGAAACGGCATAAGCGACGCTCGAAAGCAATCAAATCGGAATCGGAGGAATATGACAGCTTGAACAGTGATAGTGATTTGAGCGGAGAACGCATGCGAGAGCGAGAGCGCGAACGTGAGGAAAATCGCAGTGGACATGAATCCTCATCGCATCTAGATGATGGAGGCTATAATCGTAAGTAGCTTTAATTTAATTTATTTAACATTTAAAAGTCAGTTTGGTTATGCTTGGTATGAAGAACTCTTTTATACTAAACGTGTTTTAATAAAATATTCCTCAATTATCACCTGAACAAAACTATGGCCTAATGTACTTTAGATTACACTTGATCTGTGTTTCTTAGCTTTAGGCAGTAAGATAGTAAGGCAATCTTCGTCGTAGCTGTTCTTCTTTTTCGCGACTGTTGTCTTGTACCATGTTGTCTTGGAAGATCGCGTCATGAAGACTGAAATCTCTGACCATTTAATCAAAGATCTACCTTGCTACCATGGCTTTAAAGTCGGCTATGAATTTGATGTTGCGGTGAAAGCGGCGCTCGTATGCGCGTTCTAAGCGCTAGTAAAAAGTATCTTTAGTAACATTACCTTTGTCTTCCGATCAAGACAAGAAGTTGGTTCATTGAGGTAAATAATAGAACAAGCTATATACATTATTATCTCGATTATGTCCGCTGTGGTACATATCCCTCTTTGTTCCGCCTATCCTGGTTGGCGTAAATCTCAGCTTTAAAGCCACCAGCTAGGCTGCAGCGCTTTTCTATCTTGCCCACAGCAAGTTTGATGAACCGACGTTTCAGTTAGACTTAACCAAACCCTTAAGCTGAATATATCGGAGTGGCTTGATGGAAAACTTCCCTTCTTTACTTGGATGTATGTGCAGGAGTTGAAACCAACAGCATACCCAATAGCAACACTACACCCCATCACTCCGTAACATGAAAATATTATCATTTTATATTTATATTTGTAGTCAAAAATTATACGCATAACATATGTCTATCTCTCTCTACTCTACTTTTAGCACGCGGCCACAGTCCGTGCAGTGGCGCAAATGTCGGGGGCAATAAAGAGCGTCTTTCAGTATTCAGTAGGCCTCAACTTCATAGTAAGTTAGTACCTATTTTAACTAATTAACACATTTTGAGATTTTGCAAACATTACAAATACTAACCACCCTTCACCGACCTGTAGTACAACCACCACAGCCACCGTCAGCAAAATCATCACGCCCACTTTAATTTCTATCAACTAACCACTAACCACTTTTAAGCATAACCTCAAACAGCACACTTGAACACAAAATACGTCATAGTCAACACATACACAAGTCATAGTCAAACAATTTTTCTTCCAAAAGTGAACTCGTATTACAGTGTTGTTGCTTTTTTCATAAGAAACCTTGCATAAATAAGCATACCTACATACATATAATGTATATGTTCAGAAAATATTTTGCCGATTCACAAGAGCGACTCCAAGAAAGAGATCTCACGCACTTCTAAATCACCAAAACCAACTGCACCTACGACAAACCCAGCAACAAGTGCAGCACCTACAGCACTTAAGTCCACACGCTCTTTTTTCCAAGCTATTATACCCACACGTATCATTTCCACAGCCATGCATGTACCCGTGGTACCCCAACCCCCACCCCCAAATCCCTCCGCACACTCCCAGTACGTGCAAACGCCCATCACCGCCAAACAGTGTAGTTCGCTGGCAGCCGCAGCTGCAGCCGCGGCGGCAGCTAAAGCAGGCAAGAAAAAGCCAAAAATACACGGTCAACCAACACAAGCGCATCAATTGCAACAGCTGTTACCGCAACGGCCAACAGTGACATCACCCCAACAACTGCAGTTGATGCAACAGCAGCAGCAACAACAACCACTCCAGCATCAGCGCCAACCGCAAATTCGCAGCGGTGTACAGTTGATCAATGCAGCAGCCGCGGCTGCTACTCGTCCACTCTCACCATCGCCACCATATCGTTTCGCTTCGTCCGCATCGTCAACATCAACATCATCCAAGCATGAACGTGTCACCAATACTCAAACAACAACAACAATCATTAATGCATCAAGTAGTTCCCCTCCAAACACGGACATTGCAAGCAACAATCTCGAGACAGTCACGTGCAGCAATCCATCATCACGCACAAGACCCCAAGCATTGGTTAGCACCATCACCAATACCACCAACAATTCATCCAACACCACCCCACCAACCAATATCATCAGCAGCAGTAGCTGTGTGAAGCCACCAAATTCGCGAAGCGGCAGTAGTAGTAGCGATAGCATTGGATACCACAAACGCTCGCTTTCCAATAGGCAAGCCATTAGTGTTGTAGTCGATGTGATTTGCAAAAATTAGCAAAATACACACATGCACACATACTTAACCGTTATACAAGCATACATCCCATAAAACTCATGTACATTCACAGCGAAAAGTGTTTGGAATATGAGATAATAATTTTATGAAATTCTTGAGTGATCCTTAATGTAGATATGAATGTCGTACACACTTACTTGCATTTTTCGTTAAATATGTTATATTATCATTGAATACTTCTGGTTTAAGTTTATCTAAATTAAATTGCAAACAAAGCCAAAATAAATTAATTTATTTGTATGCCCTCCTATGTAGGGAGAATACCGTATTTGTCGGCATTTTTATTGTATTAAAAAAATGTGTTTCAAAAGTCAAAAAGAATACGAACTCTTTCGAGTACTGGCTTGATATTTGTATTAAACGTCAATTGACTTTTTTGACTTTAGCAAAATATTCTAGTTCAATTATGGAGGTAGACATGTGATTTTCAAGAAGTAATAAAAACCTGTAATTTAATGTTATGGCCAAGAGTTTAGCTTTATTGCAAAAATAGTCCAGCGGTGTTAAATGTGTTGATTATTTCATTGTCTGTGTAGCGCCATCTTATTGGAACCAAAGACCGTCCATATAAACATCTTTCAACTTAGGAATGAAAAAGTCATTAATCATGTCTATATAGCCTTCTCTATTTTTAAGAAATATGGGACAGTGGTTTCCTCAAAGTTTGAGCCCTGGTTCGACCAAGATCCAAAAATAAAAAAACTAATTTGAATAAAAACACAAATTAAATGAAGCATTGCATTCGCCCCTCGGCAGAGAGCTTCATTTTCTCAGAATGTATTTATGGCATTAAAGTCCCCCATTATAAAATCCATCAGCTGTTCGTAGGCGTCTACCAAGATGCAAATCACAGATTGGACGAGAAGCGACAATTATATTTATACATTATATAACGACATCTCAACATTGGCTTGCGGATTATGGATACTTTGAATTGAACTATTTTGTTGATGCTTATTCAACCGAGAAGTTCGGAAATGAACTGAACGAAATTTAATTGCGAAAATCAGTAATTGATCGTTCTGAAATGACAATGAAATGCTTAGAGTATATTATTTCTCGACCTCTTTTTAATGAACTGGATAACTTAAATTAAAACTCAATATAACAATTACTTAATTTTTTGAAAGACTACTTAACTTAAATGAAAAAGAATTTGTTAATTGTATTCTGGTATAGACAGCAATATTGTAGTTAATAGTTAGTCTCTTTCCCTATCGTGATATCACTACGATCAAACACATTTCTTTTATGGTTTTTCTATTCGACCTAAAATTCTGGCTTCGTTAAATTAAAAAATTATATTTGCGGGCAATCTGAATGTACGTGCATAATAAAAAATTAAGCAGAGTATGTCAGAGTCGCTACCGTTTAATCCGATATACTGCAAACCATGACGTTAAAGGCAATTACAATATTAGCTATCCACGAAAAGACAAATAATTGGTATTAGTGCTATTCTATTTTTTTTCCCCTGTAATTCACAAACACAAGAGACCCACTCCACTTATTCAAAAAATATTTTAAGAAAATAAAATAATTCTCTGGTATTTTGTCAATGTGAAATACCTCCTACTGCTCACCGGGCGGTAGTTGTTGTTGTAATCCGATAGTCCTGTCTTCTTTGTGTCAATTGTAAAAATACATACAGCTGACCTTAAGGTTATAAACAATTGGCGATGAGAAGGGGTGAAATTCATTGCAGAGGAGCGAGCCTATTTAGAAAAGTTAACTTTTTTTCTTTAAACTATTTTTCCACAATTTTTAAGTAACTAAAGCTCGAACTATAACATTCCGTATGGCAGTACACACTGCTAAGCATTCAGCTATCGCGGTCGCCACCTTAAGGTTAGACCATTTTTCCCGACTAAACGTACACGCTTTCCGATGATATTCTAACCGAAAATATGGTTTTAATTCTACTTAAATTGTCGTTTCAAAATGAAATTAGGACACCTAACAGACAGTTAAATTCAGTAGTTTCTACAAAGTTTCTAGACGACCATACGATATAGTATCTTTCCTAGTTCTGGTATGGCGATATGAATGAAGATTTAGACTTAATAGTGAGTGACTATTATCAGCTTTTTATATTTAATTTTTTATATATAAGGTAGTAGCCAGTTAAAACTAAATGGTTTTATTGAAATAATTTTTTTTAGTATCTGTCGCTCAAAGAAGTCAGAAAACAAATTTTTATTGGAGTTAATTTAAATAAAAAAAAAATTTAACTAAAGACTCGACTTTACCTTATGCCTCTGTTTCAAATCGGGCTCTTTTTGAGGCGTTAAAAAATTGACTAAATTCTTAATTCCTTTTGATTTAATAAGGTCTGATGTTTTTTCGTATAAACTCTAATAGAAGTTAATAAATATTTAGGATACAATTTTGTTTTCACAAGAAAATATACACATTTTTCATGCACCGAAATTTCAATACAAAAAAATTTAATTGCATTCCATAATTTTTTAATTTCATCGCACATCGCATGTTTTCCGTTGCTTTCACTTGCATGTCTTACTACTAACCACCGCTTCTAGAAAGCTATAAGCCTTAAGATCTCGGCACCTAATAAAAATATAAAGCAACTAATGAAAATCTTTCGCTATTATTTTCAACAGCAGCATGGACCCCGTGCCCTTCGACTACCGGCTCTTTGACCCGCCACCAAAACAGCCGAAACCAACAATTGCCTGTGGTGCACAATCACAATCGCATCACCATCACCAACGACAAACATCAGCAACATCAACATCCACATCCGCATCCACATCTGCCCAAAATCCAGCCAACCATACAAATATGTCCAGCGGTCTATCCGGTGGCAAAATACGAACAAAAGATACCGATAATAATTCCAACAGCGGCAGTAACCTCCTCCTCTCCGGCGAATTCCAATACAGTACAACTAACAGCATCCCCGCCCCGCATATTGTCCAGTCGGGTTCATATGTCGAAATTCTGAAGCATGCCGCACCACATCCAACCAATTTACAAACCAACAATCAAACAGCGATGCAAACACCAAATGCCAAACGCTCTAACAGCGGTGGAGGTGTTGGTGCAAATGGCGGTGGAAAAAATGCTGTCGGCGGTGCAGCTTTGGCTTGCCACAACAAGAGCTATGGTGATTTTCTCACCATTACACCAAGGCGCAAAGGAAAATTACTCTCATCCGGCTATGGTGACAAGCATGGTGGATTGGTCGATGGCAACAATCAGGATAATTATCGCCATCATTTACCAACCAGCATTGAGCCACTACATCTATTGGGCATACCCAATGACAATATGTCCACATTCTTTGACTATCGCGCCATGGAGACGCTCAGCAATGCAGACACACTAGCGATCGGCAGCAGCATTTCTGGGCATGCACACAACAAAGGCAAGGCGTATGATGCAGGAATAACCTGTCTGAATGCGAACAATTATGGCGAGTCTACACAGAGCAGCAGCAATTCGGGCATACCGGATGAGTTTCATAATATCATTAGTGAGAAGAATCTGAGTCCACCCTCAGCATTCAGTGACAACAACAGCTGTCTGCCTAAAAGTAAAGGCTAAGTCTGCTTGCAGTTAGTATGTTAGGAAATTCAATGAAGATCATCATATCAAAACTGAGGACACTAGAGATAACCAAACTACGCTCTGCTTACAAGTATGAACTGAAAAGAACTGAAGAATTCTGCATATCAATTGACGGACATACACAAATACATTCCTGTTTACGTAGCGTCATTGTAACGGTTATACTAGAATTACTTCATACATAATCAAGTTAAGAAACATTTAATCGGGTTAGCACATCAATAAAACGAAACGAAGTTGAAACCAAAGACTTTACAAAAGCATTTAACTACGAAACAAATAGAAATGTTAAGATATTTAACAAGCGAAAAACAACTACAAAGCGACGAATGTGTAACATTAAGCGACTGGTTTGATTTTAAGATCTCAAAAATTAACAAAAAAAATCCATATGTAACTCCTAGGGGCAATATTACATTTATAGATCACGTAAGCCAAAAGTTGAATTAGACCCTTTCAAAAATATATGTACATGTATAAATGGTTACATCTCTAGATACTAGTCTACTCGTATATGATTAAAAACAACTTTTGTGTAAAATAACTTAAATTTACGGTACTAGCAGTAAGCAGTGAAGCATAGTTCAATTCATTAGTCCTAAATATTTATAGTTTTTACACAACAGTCAATTCCAATAATCCATCTCGGTATTTTGTAGTCATTTTAATCTTTGAGGTATATATATATTTTTTTTCATTCGTTCTTTTCTAAGCCCCACAATTTTTTTAAATTAATATTTAAGTATTTGGCGCTTTGTAACTGCCGCAGAAATTTTCGGACGAGCTCCTCTTCCAATTAGTGCTATGCGTCTCTAAATTTACCAACAAATGGGGAGACTTAATCTAAGCCGTCTGGAAAGTGAAAAGTTCAACATAATTTTGAAGCTCTAAATATATTGTTATCTGGCGGTTCACGTGAGTTCAGTTGATATGGCTACTGGCTTTTGACCAGCGCACTTGAACCAGTGTGATGGCACTTTAATATTTTTCAAATGCGCGCGCGTGACAAAGCTGTTTTCTATAGACTCTTTATCCACCACCCCGCTGAAGCTGTGCCAAAAATCTATGCAGAAATAGTCCATTCTTTTAACAATTAAACAATCTTTTTATTATGATACAGAGTTTTCCAATAAAAGTTGTTTTAATCTGATATTCAAAGAAAAATGCCATTACTAATGAAAAACAATATCAGATAAATAGTCGCCACGGCGAAGCTAACAGAACCGTATCCTTTTTATGAAATTTTCCATCACCAAATTGCAAAGTGCCGCTGTATGCCCTCAATAGTCTCACGAATTCCATCTTTGAGGCTTGAAATCATATTTAGCCTATTGGGGTACAACTTATCTTTCACTAAGTCGCAAGGTTTTAAATCACAAGAAAAAACTCTTTATTTTCTCTCTTTTTTCGCTATTCTCGCCTAAATACAGCCTAAGCCGTTGATCGTATACAACTGGAACTAAAAAGCATTTTCCAAAATGTTTATCCTTAGTGGGGTGAGATTTTAGGGCAAAGATTTTACGGGCAAACAATGTATGTGTATGTGTGCGATGATTTATTCGCTGACGACTTTCTTCAATCCCGGATGTTTAAATTGACTTAAGTATAGACCATAAGGCACTTATTGATGTTTTGAATTAAATTTTTTTAAGAATATGCAAGTTCTTTAAAAAAATGTTATATGGTAACAATGTTAGGAAATTTTACATAAAAACTGAAGTAAAAATTTTTCTCTGAGTATGAATTTTCCCGACAAAAGCGCTTCATACTTCATGGAGAGAGAAAAAGTTTAATTTCCGTCTTAAAGACCCTCTCCTGGCAATAAAGAAAAACTGAAAACAAATTTTACCAATTGATAAGTTACAATCTATTTTGGGAGACCATTTAGCATCCATATTATGTTCATTCATTTTATATTTATGTAAATAATATTACATGTATTATAAAATTTAATGGAAAAAATTATATTTTTTAAAAACTTAGTAAATAGAGCTAATTAATGATTCTTATAGGGTTTCTTAAGTTTATGGTTCTTTTGAAAAAGTATTTTTAAATTTTTGTACTCTATACATATGTCAATTGGGCTTGCTTTACTGTCATTATTAGGGTGAATCCTAATTTATTTGGTAATTTAAGGAATTGACTTAAAGTCTATTAAATTATGAACACTTATTTGTGGTTGAGAATGGTTTATGGAAATTTTGTGGTATGAGATTAAAAAAATAAACACTGCATTAGATTAGTTGAATATTACATACATAATACCATGAAAATAAGAACACTGTTAATTAGTTAAATCTACAAAAGATGAATTTAAATATAATATAACAAATACATGAAAATGGCGGAGTGATGTTTTTTAAAATTATGTACATATTAAATATAAACAAAATATTTAAAAGCATTTAATTATATGCATTTAAAACTAACAAATAATGTCATCTAAAATATATCAATATTAGATAAAAAAAAAACTATATTAAAAAAGTTAGTTATTATTTACTAGTTACATAATACGTCGTACATACATATGTACTGTCTTTGTATCGGCAGATATAAGGTATATTTAACAGCATATATGAAATAACCGTTAATTGTGCAGCTGCTGCGGTTAACAATGTAAAGAAGTCAATAAAACAAAAATCGAATCGAAAACCCCTTGATATGTATGTATATCCTGGCCGTTATAGAGTTAGTAACAACTAAGAAAACAATTTGCAATTAACCCTCGGCATCAATTTTAATGCGTCAATTTTTTACGAAAATTTACAAATCCCAGTAAAATATATGTATGTATTTTTAAGCAGTACCAATTTTGGAAATATGTAAATCTTAGTTTACGGAAAGGTATTTCCTATAAATGTTACCAAATATAAGAAGCGAAGGAGAGAAATATGAAAACATAAATTATGTAAACGAAATCAAATAAAAAATTTAAAATTGCAATAAATCATTAAAGTTAAAAATGAAATTGCAATTAATTAAAATTGTGCGTGGATCAGATTAATAAAAAATTATATTTATGTAAAATTATGGAAAGCATCATTCTAGGCTGCAGTATATAGCATACATACATATGTATGTACATGCAAATTTCAATTATCACAAGACAAACATATTTTTAACAAGTAATCAAAGATCTCTCAATAAATTAATTCTCAATTTGTTTCGCCATTGTATAATAACGAAAAAAAATACGAATGCATACATATATAAATAATTAAGTAAGCATTTTAAGGTTATAAAACGAACATTTAACACAACAATGCAACAGTTACAGTAAAATTGCAAACCGCATAGTTTATGTCTAATACATGAACAAATTAAAAATTTAATAATAAATCCAGATTCACAAAGTTCCAGTTTGGATACTTTTAAAAATAATTAAGCATAATCACAAAATGTTTTCATTGCAGATTTGAGCGTGGGAATTTTGACTATACAGTACGTACGTATGCCATATTTATGAGCTTAAAACATAATCCTGAAAGATTGATTTTCCTTTCCAAGAAGCAAAAACCAAATTGAAGGTCATTCTAGCGGCTGCTCGGAGGCGATTTTTTTAGACTTAATTAACTCGCTGATTTGCGCTTGTGCTCCGAAGGAAATTGGGTAGTTATCAAGAAGTGAATAGGGATGCAAGACGCATTTTCATTATATGCATTTGCGTGATAATCCTCGAAATTTCTACGAAAGGACCAAATTTTTCTAGAACACAGATAGGTGATCTGATGACTGATGTCCAGAGCAACACCAAACTCCAAGCGATAATGAGAATCTTCGAAAGTCGATTGCAAATGGCTGAAGCTGACAGCCTACCGGTAGAACTATTCAAGCATGGTGTTGAACGTATGCGCAGATGAAAGCATGCACGACTATGGGTATTTAAGTGTGCTCTGTCTAATCCATAATAAAGGCAATTCTACAGTCTGTACCGATTACCGTGGGACTGGCATCATTAATCACGCATAAAAGGTCCTTTCGAGAGTACTGTGTGAAAGACTAAAGCCCACCGTAAACAAACTGATTGGACCTAATCAGTGTTACTTTAGACAAGGCAAATCAACCAGTACGGCTGCGTAAACTGGCGCTGGGCAGCACCAGAAGCATAGTCAGAATTGTGAAGGAGCTCTCTGAGTCAAGACAGCATCTCGTAGGGTTGCCGGCGTACAGATTGGTTCACCGCGGTTTATAATCAGCTAGCTATTAGCCTTACTGGGTGCACGCTGTGTTTTTTTGTTTTCTCCCAGGCACTGCCAGCTAGAGAGACGTTGATTAAAGTTGCTGATCAGTATTTTAGTGACAATCGGGATTTTATATGAAGTCTATTTTATATGAAGTTGAGGCCATGATTTATCTGGTTATATAAGGCCTGGTGGTCTGCCAAGAGCTTTCAGAGTCGCTAATATAGAAAAGAGAATTCATACTTACTTCACTAAACTCAGATGTCTTTACATCTGCATGTTTATTACGTCGGTGCCGTTGAATTTCGATTATTCAATTTTCATAAATCTGCAGGTAAGTTGTCGATCGGTATTCGAGCTGATATACATAAGCTTGATTAGCACATATCCTTTATTATAGAGGTGATATTAACGAGACAAAGGCGGAAAAAATGGATCCTAGTGAACTTACTACTAGAACAACCATGATTTATGTGGACAGAAAGATTATGCAGAGCAAATTTCCCAAGCCTGCGGTGTTCCGCTCTAATGTCACTGGTTTCGACAAACCCTTCCCACCCAAATGCACTTGTCTGTAGTGTCAGCATCAAACTTAAATGTATTCAATCACCAATTGACGTCAATGGAAAGGAGTGAAACGCTGGCCTGATAGACCGACAAGGTACAAACAACATACAAGGTCGAAGGAAAGATAAAACATCTAATTAATGTCCTCCGCAAAATGCGTATATGCTCGAGATGGGGCGATTTTCGTTTGAGTATCCGTAGGCGAGAACGAGGGCGTCGTCAATTCCATAGATAATACAAGAAGAGAAAGGCTTTGCTAAGTTGGAGGAGTATAAATGACTGGCTGGCTGATGTGAACAAATCGGTCTAACAGTGCTTATGTCACCTAAAGAGGAAAGGAAGGGATTGCAATAGGATTGTTTTTGTTTTTCACCGAAAAAAAAAAAAAACAAATAATTCTTTCGTGTAAATAACTTATTTTAATTTAAGATAACCGAAACGGTTGAATAGTTAGTAGTTTTCCATGCGGGCTAGGAACTCAAGAATTTACCCGTGGTAATGGCGCCCGCGATAGCTGAGTGGTTAGCATTGCGTACTGAGATAAGGAAGGCTCGGGTTCATAACCTGATGCCATCAACATCCAATAAAAGTTATGGAAAATTACTTTAAATAAAAATTAAAAAAAAATGAGTTCAATTTTCTAATTCCGGTCGCCCCTCGACAGAGTATGTCAACCCCTCCGAGTGTATTTCGGACATCAAATGCAATCATATAAAGCCAAGTATAAACTGTAAGTCCCTCCATTTGTTGGAAAAACATCAAGACGAGGAGCTCGAGCGAAAAATCGTTTCACTGGTTACAATGCTTGTCTGTCGTAAGAAGCGACTTAAATTCAAAAATTCCCGCGACAGTCGGGTATTTATACCGGAACGACCTGGATTCTTATCCAGCCAATGGCCTGGTTTGTTTGTACAAATTAAATATTTTTGTTATATAACAAAGAAAAATGTTAGAAGTGTAAGTTGTTTCGGAGATCACCACATCTCCTCATCAGACCTCTTTTGGCAAGGATCACCAACAGGTGAATTAATGAATTAGACCACTGCGCCAACATCAAACGGCCTCCATGCCAGAACGGCGGTCAGGCAGGTTTTATTGAGTGTTTGGTGGGATTGGCATAAGCTATGAGCTCATGGTCGGTATGAAGGAGGGGAATTGTGTTTAATCCGCACAACGCCGGGCCACACAAATCAAAAGTGTCTCGCCAGAAGGTCTGAACCAAGTGATTACCATCAGTTTCAATGCATTTGTTGGTGAAGAATTGGACTTAACAGAAGCTTGTAAAGTTCGATTGTGCAAATTTTCTGAAACTTAATCGCTATGGACTTTAAAAAATAATAAACTCAGCACAACTTCATTTGTTTTTAAATTTTATATACACACAAATGTTTGTAAGTATATTATGATCTCAACCGATTTCAATATTCTACAAACTATAAAATATACATATGTATAACTTTATTATCTCTCAAAACAAAATTTACAAAAGTACAGTATAATGTTTACAGTATGAAAAATAACTCTATGCTTTCTTAACAAAAATTATATCTTGCAGTTTCGCTATAAGTGCTTCCTTCGCCAAGGTATTAGCTTTGATAGCCTTCGTCTGTTCTTCTGTTGCCGTTGTTTGCTTCTTAATAAGTTCAAGTTGTTGTCGCTTTATATCATTACTAGTTTCCATTTCTCTTAACTTTCTCAACTCTAATTCATATAATTTATCCAATTGAATATTTTCCAATTGTTTTCTTCTTTTTCGCTTTCCCTGATTGCAGCTCACTGATTCAAAAGCATATGAACTATCTTCAATGTAAGAAGTTTCCTCTACTTTAATTCCACTTTCAGCACATTCATCGTCGGTAGAAACTATTTCAATTGACTGCTCCATTACACTTGTAGCATCCATATTTTGCGGCAAGGGATCCGCCTGTAGCTCGGTACTAAATTCTGACGTGCTGACATCGTTATTTGTTTTCTCTGTTGTAAGTTTGATTATGCGTTCCTCCAAAGCTGAGAGCGCCTTGGAATCGCTGAATTTCCTAATGGTTCTACACTTCTCGAAGGTGTGAAGTCTAATTTTTAATGAAATAGAGAACACAAAGTTTATGAAATTATGCGCATTAAAAATAATATTTAGAAATCAATTTTTATTGGTGCCGTCAAAGTTTAAAATAAATAGTTTTTTTTTCGTTTTATATACAGTGATAAACTGAAGTATTGGCACAGCAAGGTAATTCAACTGGAACTTGTTTTATTATCTTTAATGTTAAGTTATTACTAATTACAAATCAAAAAAGTCACCCAACTGGGCTATTTCACTTAAATTTGATTGATCTAGCCAATTTTTTTTAAAAGTCCCGCTATGTCTACATACGCAATTGCGTTTTTTTTTTTTTTTTTCAAAATTAAACTACGCACATCATAGAGCCTTCAATTATTGTGCACTTTTCAAAAAAATGAGTGGCAAAAAAAAGTAAAACTAACGTATTTCAAGGGAAAATAATTCTTTATTTTCCTAAGCCGGTCAAATCATATGCATAAATTGGTGAAAACGATAATGGTCCGGAGAGCATTGCTTGAAGCTAACTTTCTTTTTTGTATTGCTAGACACAAATCCCTTATTTCAAAAGTGAACCAAAAGAGACGTTTAGTCTATGCTAAGGAGTACCTAAGTACACCAAATGACTTTTGGGACAATGTACTCTTCTCGGATGAAATTATATTCAATATCTTTCAATTTAATGGCCGTCAAACTGTGTAGAGCAAACTTTTCTGCGATTATAAAACATAGTGGTGGAGGAGTCATTGTATGGGGCTGCAGGTGTGGGCGAGCTGGAATTCATTGACAGCATTATGGACAAAAAATACTATATGGGAATTCTTAAGAAGAATGTCCAAAAAGTGCCAGAAAACTTAAATCGCCAGAGTCATATACATTTCAGAACGACAATGATCCGAAGCATTCCGCTTATGATATGCGTATATAGCTTGCACACCACATTGAACACACACTGCCGCTTCCGCCCCAATCGCCTAATCTATGCCCATTGGAACATTTGTGAAAGAGCTGGATGGGCGCGTTAAAAAGCGCGCTGTATCAACAAAAGAAGAGTTGAACCTGGCAGTGGTGGTGATGCAAAAGCGTTTGGTAGCTGCCATCAAACAAAAAGACTTGGCTACAAAATATTAATTTTGTTATTATTTTACCATTTTATTATAATTTTTTTGTCTTTTTATGAAGTGTGCCATTTACGTTTGTTTGGTGAAAATTAATACTTTTTTCATTTATAATTAGTGTTAATTTAACATAAAAGATAATAAAATAAATTGAAGTAAAAATAGTTGAAAATATATCCCTCTGTCCAGCAATTTTTTTTCGAAATTAAAAATATTTTCAAAAAAAGGTGTTAAAGTTGAACTATCTTGCGCCAATACCAAGACGAATTCATAAAGATGAGAGCAGTAGAACATGGCAAGTTCATACAATTCGTTTATGCCAAGGCGAATTTAAAAAAGGTGGAGTTAATAGGGCAGCGAATTCAACTATTTTCATTTGATTCATTTAATTAATTCACTTCAGTATAAAGGTAGTCAAAATGTTTGCATTATGATTTTTTGTTAATTTTATTTTGAATTTCTAATTGTATAGTCGAAAATTTTCAATTAAGATTTGTGACTTTTCCAAATAAAGGAATGTGTCCCAATTTTGATTTGAGTCGAATTGATGCGGCTATTAAGAAGTGACCAACGCACTTAGGGCAATATGACCATTTTGATAACGCTATTATAAGGCTTTTATCTTCACTTTCTCAACTGTTCGAACCATTTTGTGTACATTATACAAGCTGAAGCTTGCTCAGCCTGACAGACAAAAAAGTGTAAAATCTTCTTCTGTGGCAAAAGTGATATAGTGAATGTCTATTTTCCTATGAAACCATAGCTGTCTGGTCACGTTTCACGTGATCTCATTCTGCCAACTAGTGCTTGCATTTGAGACAAAGGTAAAGCTGCATCTTGCACATGCATTCTTTTGGATAGAAGAGCTCCTTCTCTCCCTAATTCGTCTGCCGTGCAATTGCTTGGAGCGTCCAAACTACGGCAGTGTTGCATTTAGTCAAGTTTTTTCAGATTGCTTCTACATTTTATATTCACTTTAGATGTGATACTGTTACACTGTAGAGATCTGATGGCAGCTTGACTATCGGAATCTATCATAACGGATATTCCTGCTATTTCATTATGTAGAGCCCGCTTTTTCATCGAGCTTTGAGCCGTCTGTAAAGATGAGCATTGCTTCTTGATCCAGGGTTTTTTTCAACAATTAACTCCTGTTTGGGATTTTTGTCGAAGTAATCCGTTGGGTTTTGTATATACATAGAAAGGAGAGTTCGATTCCAAGTTCTATAAACATCTATCTATCTGGAATCGTCCTTGCCAAAGAAATTTAGAAAAAAGGCTTAGTATGCATATACCATATTTCAAAAAGAAAATTAGTTTATACTATGCATAAATAAACATATCTTTCCAATATTAACATTTAATAAATAATATTTATAATCAATTATATAATGTACAATGGTCTGCACAGCGTTACAAGAACCAATAATCTCTTATGACCATTGTAATTATAGAACTTTCTCTTAGGCATATTTCGTGTAGCCTTTGCCAAAAAAGTATATTAATATACATACGTTCTTTGCAATGCTTAAGAAATTCCCTTCCGAATACTTGCCCTTCAAGAATTCTCTAAAATTCCATAAAATAAAACTACTTTGCTGTTAATGTATGAATTTGTCATGAATTAGACAATTGTTGCACTGAAAACAAAAACTAAATATCCGGTAATTATTGTTTTTTTTCTCCTGCCTTCAACTTTATGAATTAGAATTGAATCAATCAATCCTTATTTATATGACATTAAAAGTAGAGTAGTTTTTTATGGAGTGTTTTCTTACTAGCATTTTTGAAAGGGAATTTCTAAAACAATTGCCATTGGACTAATTGATTGGCCGATCTTAAGAGGTTATTAGAATTACCGCACTTCTTTAGTTTTTGTAACTAACTCTGTGTTTGGTAGTTGCAGTTTATATACATACATGTGCAATGATTATAATTATTATTTATAGTTAGTATTGGAAGAATATATTATATTTAACTATAATATTATATAAACGTAATTTTCTTTTCAAAAACTCTTTTAAATTTCTTTGGCTAACACGAGTCTAGAAACATGAAGATCCTTCATCTGGTGGAGCTTGGAAAAATTATAAATCTCGCCGTTCTACATATGTATGTACATACAAAACACAACGGATTGCTTTGACAATCTCTTTAAAAAAAGATTTCCAAAGAGGAACTAATAGAAAAAACAAATGCTCTCGATCAACGAGCCATCTTTACAGACGGCTTAAAGCTCCTTGAAAAAGAATTCTCTCAATAAACATGAGCATGAAATTCCCAGGCCACTGCAGCGTCTTCCACGCAGAACTGTTTGAAATTATAGAAGCCGCCAAGGGGCTGCTCAAGTCGACGGTAACAGGACTACCAGTTACGATATATATAGTACAGTGAATCGCCTTTTGCATAAATAGGATTCAAGGATATTGTTGCACGTATTAGGCAATGATTTCTTAATTTTATGAATAAGGCCATCATAGCACATTTTGCAAATGCTTCCGCTACATTTACTTGTTTAACGATTTACTTGTTCAAATGTGTCATGTTTTTCGCGAAATCAAAATTGATGTGTAGGAATAATATTATTTTGTTGGGGAAAAGGAGTATTTTTGATAGCACCACTTTTTCGAACAAATTTGGATAGGCAACAGGCTGATTGGTCTACACAAATAATGTCGGCAGAGTTGCGTCTTTACCTGATTTAGCTATCATCATTATCTGTGACTTTTTCCATATATGCGGATAATATCCTATCTTTAAAATAGCACTAAAAAGCTTTGCAATAAAAACGAGAGCAATGCTTGGCCAAAGGTAATATGGTACGAACCTCTTTATCTCGTGAGATCGCCGAAAAATGTGCATTTTTTATAACATTTTCAAACCTTACCACTACGGTGAAATTATAGTTGGGTATAATCGAATAAAAATGTTGAGTGTTGTTTTTGCTCGTATAATTAAATTTAGTTTTCACACTCTTAAAACCCAATTTTAATGAAAATAATAAAATTTCTATCCGACTAGCTAATCCTCAACTTAATAGATATTTTAAAATCCACTCAATTATTGTACAATAGCATATCAACATACAATTTTTTTAACAAGAAAGTTAAGCCTCGTAAGAAATGTTTATGTTTACTACCCAAGCAATATTTTTGTGTGTTAATAAATATTTTTCCTAACTATTTACTACTATTTATTTAAAAAATTGCCTCTTAAATTTTGCATTGAGTACTCAATCTAATATATTTTGGAGGAATTTGAACCATTTTTGGGATGGGGTTCTTGTTCTTCGTCAGCAGTACTAGTTTGCCCACTTTTGTTATAACCAGGTATAATTAAAGCAAACTTCTTCTAAAAATTAAAAATAAAAAGTCCACTAACATTAAAATTAATTTTTAGCGGATTGCATATGGCAGCTCACATTTATTACTCACAGCTGATGTTGGGCGTCGATCTCGTAGTTTGAGCTGCCAGCGCAGCCTAATCGATGCTCAAATATAATAGATACGTGAGTAAGTTTCATATCCAATATGGAAGTTGTTGGAGACTGCGGGCGCACCCTACGACTGAACTTTAGTTTCTTCGACACTTAGAGATGCAAATCTATTACCTTATAATGCGTTACTTTTAGTGTTAATCCTTTTTGCATTGCTCATTTTTTTTTCTCGACTTCATTTCCTTTCAACGTTTTTATATTTATGCGTCCGTCAATACCAGTCTGTACTGCCGACCCAGTTTCCATTTTGGCTGTCTCACCTTTTTCTCTATTTATCGCCAGCTGTTGCTACTGCTGCTGTGCTGCTCGTTTTTGTATGTGGTTGTTTTTCTGCTGTGGCTGAACTACTGGTTTGCGTTGGTGTTGCTAGCGATGACCCATTTATTCTTACTCTCATGCTTTTCGGAGGGGATCTTAAGGCAACAACAGTCATATTAAAATCTATGTTGACGATAAGTTCGTATGGTTTCAAAGTCAACAATTTCGAAGTTTATATTTAATATTAACAAAACGGAAAGGCATCAATTCGTTGGTTGAGCATCTCTGTCATAAAAAGTTAGTTAAGCATTCTCTACACTCATCTATTTACTTTGATTTGTAAATATCATTTTATTTTCACTTTTAATTTGTCAGGATCGCAAAAATTTTATATGAATCGTGATTTTATCGTTGGTACATATTTGATCTGTTGAAGTTTTAGATTATAATAAAATATTTGTTTGAATATAAAAATAACAAAGCTATGAGCGCCACAAATGTCCAATATAAACGGAAAACGCGCACAAAGCTCAACAGTTTGGAGCTCAATGAAATAATTCCTCTGCTGGTATCCATTCAACAGATTCAATATGTTTTGTTGTGCACTCACGTTTATTTATTATGTACTACACATGAATGTATGTATTTACTTATATAGCGTGTGGTTGCAATTGCTATCTTATTATTATCTGCCATTGCACTACTTTAAGTATATATAAATATGTACATATGTATGATCGTAAACAATTGCAGAAAAACTTACCTCAAATCTCGCCAATATTTCCTCCACTTTACACTATCCTTATATGTTCCACCAAGTGCATTAAGCGCCAGTGTCAGCTCTTGCCACTTTTTCTCTCTGTATTTCATGTCAGCGATAGTTATGAACCTGAATATGAAAAACATCAAGAGTAATTTCTTCTTCGGTGAATACATATGCATGTATGTACAATTCAGTTTAATCGCTTACTTATCATTAGAGAGATCAATATTATTCTCCAAATAATTAATTAAGTACAATTTTTGTTTTTCACTAGCACGCTTTCCCCGTGATATTTTTTCCATTTGTTATTCACTTATAAATTTTTATTTTCATGTGAAAAAATGAGATGTTGTCGACCCAGCTTATAGAATGTGAATAGGCCGCATAAGAGAGATGAAAAATTTCCATTTCGTTTCACTTTTTATTTTCACATGAAAATAATTACGGCGAATTCATTTTATGAAATCAGGCGAATTTACTTTGGTAGAGTGAACCAGAGAACTTATTATACATTCTCTGTTATAACAACTACTACAGAGAATGTAAATACAACAAGAAGCAGAGAACTTATAATAACGAGAAGGTGTAGAGAACTTATAACAACTACTACAGAGAACGTAAATACAACGAGAAGGTTCAGCAGAGAACTTGAAATAACTAGCACTGCTTTGGAGGAAATGTAAAAAAGTAATATGTTAAACTTCTGCCATATATATACGAAATATCTCAAACTGCGTGGTTTGTCCCCTCACTATGTCCTATGTACGCTCACTTTTTTCAAGTGCTACACAAACTGTTTGCACAGTTTGATATCAAGTGATATAGTTATAAATGTTGTTAACTTGTTCCATGATATAAAAAACATCGCAACTCAAACTGTTATGGCAGCTCAGTAATACTGCTATAATCTTTAAACAGTTTTCTATCAGTGTTTTTCATGTGCTACAGTTTGATTTCTTGGGAAGTAGTAATATGAGCCAAGAAATTGTAAATATTTGCACTTCAAACTGTTATGGCAGCTGATAAATACTATAAATGCTATAATCTTTATACAGTTTTCTTACAGTGGTATTGACGCTATCAATTATTTTAAAAATGTTTGCTTGAGCCCTTTTCCATGATATATGAGAATTGAAATATTCTGATGAATTAACGAACGAAATAAAAAATAAAAAGCTCATATAAAATAATATAACAATGCAATTGAAATAAAATAGAATCAAACATATTTAATTTTTTTTACGAAATACTTCTAAAAAGAGAATAAAAACATAAAAACAACATTCGTCAATATTAAAATCATTAATTCCTTTTTGGTACTATCACTATCTTGCAAGATTAACGTCCTATGTATTACTATTACAAATAAATAACCAGCATAATTGGATTGGGAAGACTTTGGATTATTTATTTTTCGTTTCCTCATTTTCTGTAAGCCGCTGTGATCCTTTACTTTTTCCCCAGTTCCTATCTATATTGCTACTATCCCTAACTGCAGTTGTCTTTAGATGTTCCTTTCAATTTAAATTGTCCAACCATTACTTGAAAAGCGAAAAATACTTGCTTTACATTTACAGACCTATTCTGCCGAGGTAACAAAATTTATCTACGTATTAAAATTAACCTTTCAGTAACCATTTCTTATTCTGAGCTCACTGTTACCCTGTTAATTTTGTTACCAGCGAAATAGGAGGTAACAAAAATATCTTCTATTTGATTTTGTATTGTAAGCTTGAGAAAAAATAAAAATAAAAAGGGGTAGGATAATTTTAGGACTGGAACTTATTGAAGATGAAGAAAAAAATGCAAAAAGCCGTGTTTTAAGAAGTTTTCGAGACTAAAAAATATCCTTTTAATTTGTAAGATAAATTCAAATTCGGGTGTTAGAGAAAAGTAACAAAATTTACTTTACCGGTAACGGCAAGAATAGGCCTGTTAAAGCAAAAACCTTTAAAGATAATGGAAATCGGTTGGACTGCCTTCCTTGGTGTAGATAGTAGAGAATTAACTGACAGCACGCAAATAATTCTAAACAGACAAAGGCTATGTTTACCCACATACAATACAAGGATGTACATATGTACTCGTATGTATTGTATGTATGTATTACAATTTGTTCACATTCATTCGTTTTTCCGTTTCCTCATTATTCCTATCCACTAATTTAGTATTTAATTTCAGTTTCTTGTTGTTGCCTGTCCTTTTATTTATTACATTCGATAGAGAAAACTACACCAACATTTAAGTGCATCAGATTAAAATGTAATTTGGATTGCTTTATAAACTTCTTAGAATTCACTCCTCCAAATGTTAGACCTAGAACTAAGAAAAGTTGGTAACATAAGATTTTGCTTGCCCTCGCGCATGTTCATTTTGATACAATACATGCACTGAAAACATTTCGTTGTTTGTTCGAAAAACTCAAATAAGGGGGAAAACAGCAAATTCCGCCAATGCTAAATCAGTCTGTTGAACTGGTATTTAACTAGTATGAAGTTGATAAAATTTTCCTCCCTTCTTTAAAAGATAGTGGAAGAGAAGTGTTAGATGAGTTGATTTTACATGGCATGCAGAGAGGTGATTAAAGTCGTATGAGGGCTCATTGTACACATACATTGGGTATATCGGGATTGAATCTGGATAAATTGGAATCAAGACGACTAAAATATTAAAACCTTTTCTGTACCACTTTTACTCGAGTCTTGCTTGGTTGTATCTCGATTACGCCATTCCTGGGAAGATATTTTATGAAGGTGTTGACAGACTCTAGGTGAATGGCATTTAAAGCATTTCAGTACAACGTCCTGTCCAGCGATTTCGTTCTAAAATGGTGTATGGAGTCTAATCACGTACATCCTTCCTGATGCGCCGAGGGGTGGTTATGCTTCCAGTAAAGGCCTGTTGGGATGATCCCTGCGATAGATATTACAAGCATGAAATAAACATTATGTTCTATAAATAGAAGCTTAATTGTTTCATGGTGTAAGCACAGCATCAGTAGGTTTCCTATCACATCCCTCAGGATGGTGTTTAACCAAGTCTCACTAGTTTCCGGCATTCAGATAGGTTCAGCGTAGTCAACGCGGGGTCGTCAATTATCTTGTCAATGCGCACTGCTCAATGTCGGAAAGTATCACTTAATGGTTGGCAGAGACGGTTTTGTTTGAAGTCGTGGACTATTTGGGTAGCTATGACAGTAAATGCGATTCGGACGCCATGCTGATATGCTGCTGGGTTTAGGTAGAGAATGATGGAAACAAAAAGGTCCCAATAGTCTTCGCTGAACGATAGCGGCTGATATCCCCTTGAACCTCTCACTTGCTGAAATCAACCGCCGCCGGTGTTTGGCAGTAAGCCTTTTTGAAGTTGAACAATTTTCGGTTATCCGCAAAATACTTTTGAGGACGTAATTAAAACGGTTATTTTCCCTCCGAGGAATTATTTAATAATTCCTCAATGGGCTTTAGGTATTGAGTCCCAAACTCTTTGTACAATATACAATAATTGGTATTTACTTTCTCATTAGAGTCAGGTGTTAGTCAGTCTACACAATTTAACATAAAATGACGGATTACGATGAATCGTAGCGAATTCTACGTTGCAAGGGCTTCTTATGAAGTTAGAATATCACAAAAAAGGCAATTGGTACTTGTTACAAGATGACATACTCATAACCCGATTTGACACCTCTAACTCCTAATTATTGGTTAAAATACATATACCGATGCCGAAATGCCAATGAAAGCCTTACCCCATCCATTTTTTCTGTCACATATACATATATAAATACTGCAATGTCCGTAGCCACATTTTTTCTCTAAATTTATAACGAAATTTTTATTTTACTCCATTACACGCTGGAGAGTGCATACGAGGTGTGTTCAAAAAATTTCGCGAATTTTGTGTTTTTTCAAAAATTTTTTATTTATTCATGAATATCTATTTTGTCCCAAGTAATCCCCGTGAGATATTATACACTTGTGCCAACGGTTTTTCCAATCTTCGAAGTACTTCAAAAAATCATTTTTTTTATCTTGTCCAGCTCCTCCTTCGATGCCGTCTTTATCTCGTCAATCGTAGCGTAACGTCGTTCTTTCATGGGCCTCTTCAGTTTCGGGAACAAGAAAAAGTCACAGAGGGCCAGATCTGAGGAATACGGTGGCTGCGGCATCATTAGTGTGTTGTTTTTGGCCAAAAAGTCGCGCACAAGCAACGATGTGTGAGTAGAGGCGTTATCGTGGTGCAAAAGGCAATTTTTGTTCTTCCACAAATCGGAGCGTTTCTGGCGGATTACTTCGCGCAAATTGCGCATAACTTGCAGGTAATATTCCTTATTAAAAGTTCTACCTTGTGGTAAGAACTCATGATGCTCCACGCCCCTGCAATTAATTTTTTCGTCTGTTGTTAAAGTGCTCGGGCGTCCGGCACGTTCTTCGTCGTTCACATCTTCTCGGCCTTCTGAGAACATTTTGTGCCACCGATAAACATTGCTTCGGTTCAAGGTAGCTTCTCCGTATGCCACAGTCAACATTCGGAATGCATCCACGCACTTAATTTCGTTTTTCACACAAAATTTGATACAGATTCTTTGATCCATTTTTTTGAATAAGTAAAAATCGAAGACCATCCAAAACACGTGCAAGCAAAGCAGCTGTCAAAATTAAGTGAACGTTCAAAATGGTCGAGCTTGTCGGCATAAGTCACAGACATGAGTAGAAATATAACGCCATCAAAAAAATCGAAATACGATTATACGTAAACCGCGAAAATTCAAAATACGCGACACTTTTTAACCACACCTCGTACAAATTCTAAAATAACAATTTTTAGCTGATTTTTATAGAAAGAGAATTTTTCCATGATGATTTCCAAGAGTATCAAACGCGTTTCGAGAAAATTCGAAATTTGAAAATGCGA